TATTAATTTCTGAGCACCATTAAAAAATTTACTGAAACGAAAATAATTTAATTAAACCAATTAAACATTCCGAAATATTCATCAAAAACATTACTTCCCGCACATTACTTTTCCCAATTTTTTTCTTCTTAATTGTTCTTAATTCATTTTTTAGCATTATTTTCTTGTTCTGAATTTAAAATTATCATAAAAATCCACACTTGTATGTATACCTTTGAAGTAGGTCAGTGCTATGAGAATACCCCTGAATATCTCACAAAAAGAGGATGCGCAGTGTCGCACCTGACGCAATTTGAATTCATCAAGTGCATATATCCCTGTGCACTTGTAGTCACAGATGTGTTGCAATGTATATGCAATTTATGCGTAGGTTTTATACCACCCGCCGTACAGCATAAACTTGCTCGTTTGCAAATTATTAGCAAGAGCCTCGGAATCTGACTAATGAATCTCGAAAGGGAAGCGCATCAAATATTTACAGCAGCCGCGGAAGCGAATGCTAAATTTCTGCCTCGGAAGAAATGTAAACGTAGCTCGTGAAATATTCATCGCTCGCATTACAGAAGAAGTGCGGAGAGAAAAGTATGTAGATGAGCCGCCGGTACCTGCGCTGGCACCAATCCAGCTACTCTGGAAGAATTCAAGAATATAAATATATAAATTATCCTTGCATCGAATAGCATAGTTCGATGAATAGGTTTGTTCTTTAGTAAAAATAAGTAAATATCCTTTAAAAAGAAATTTTTATAATATCATTTTTTAATAGTAATTTTTTTAATGAAGCTAATAAGTACTGCAGAATATCTTAATTGGATTGTATTATACTTTTAATTTTTCTTATGTAATTATTGAGTTTGAATTAAATTTTTATAACCATGAAATAAATATATTTTTAATTAAAAAAATTATTATTTTCTGAGATAATTTTATTATTGGATATCAACAGTTTATAGGACAAACAATAATATCAAAATATTAAATTAATTTGAACAGTAAAATTAAATTTAATACTTACTGAAATATATTATATAAATAGGTACTAGATTTAGTAACTCATTTATTTCATGATAGCATGTTTTACAATAAAATTAACTGGCTCGAGTAAATTAATTTAATTTTTTTTTCTTATTCGCTTCATATTCTTGATAAATGAAAAAAAAAATCTGTCATCTCTCCACTTGCGTAGAAATTTTCCGCGCCTGGATTTATTCATTTGTCCTGGAATTTTCTGAAGAGCACTCACAATCAGACATCGGTGCGTTTTGAGAGGCGCAGAGAGAGATGATAGAAAACTCATCCATCACACCGCTCGTCAGATTTCATTGCAGTTTTCGCTCGAATGCCAAAGTGGAGCACGAAACGCATTTTTCGAATCGTGTGTGTGTCTGTGTCGACTAATGCATTTTTAAATGAGAGCGCTTTTTGAATGGAAGAGCGCTTCTGGGTAATAGAAGAGTTGGCGCTGATTAATGATGGAACGCGCTGCGAGCGATCGATTTTTATTTCATGTACGTGTTTTTATTTCTCACATTGTCGATGCAGCTTTGTAAATATTTCACGAGTCTTGATGCATTTCCAGACCAAGACTCGCGAGTTGCAATAAAACTCTTGCGGCCGCGAATTATTGATGACATTCGCACGCCAAAGCCTCAAACCAAGACGAGAACTCTGCACGACAGCTACTTGCCATTCTTTTTCTCCACCATATAAATATTGAGAGCTCCCAGTCTCAAGACATCCTCTTTTATTCACCCACTCTATTTTTTTCACACCTACACAGATTTATGCGCATTTTTGTGCAATTGGATTTTAGTGTGTGTGTGCATTCGAAATTGACTGAGAAGAGTTGAATGATTTAGAATATTTCATACATACATATTTTTTATTATACTTCATGCTTCTTTACTATCTAACACAGTGGGAAAATGTATAAATAATTAACCCTGTTATATAAAAACTTTAGGGAGGGTAATTAATTTAAAAAAAATGCAATTTAGCAAGCTTTTAATTTATGCATTGCTTTAGTTGCCTGATTAGGCAATTACTGCCCAAATACATAAAACAATAAAAACTAAAAATAAAAAATCATACTATACGAGAGAGAATTAAATCATTGAATTATTTCTAGCTTGTTATTAACTTGGTGAATATATCAGAACATTTTTTTTTCACATTAGAGGAAGTCTTCCTTAATTAAGTTTGTAAAAATAATAAATAAATAGAAAGTGTGGCTCATTCTGGCTGGACTCAACATTTTTCAGAGCAGACACCTGATGAGATCCATTTAATTCATTGATTTTTCATTTACAGTTTTCATATTTCTTGCAGCTGGCAAAAGGGCAAAATACACTGAACAGAATTTTTGTGTCACGTCCTCGGCGGTGTGTCACAAAAATGAGCCGCAGTCAAGTGCGGTGGAAAATTATCCGCTTGCAGTCCGTGTTCGTTGACCTGTCGCTGTGTCAGGTTAAGCTCAGAGTGTGTGTTGTCTTGTCAATCATCCTGCCATTCGCAAACTGCAAAGTGGTCAACGTGAATGTGAAATTACGTTGCTTTACTTTGCACAGAATGCAAGCCACGCGGTTCTCATTTAATCAAATCGGCCCTGTGGTGTGTCATTAATCATTAGAGAGGTATCCAGATTCCAACAGTAAGCAATAAACAAATATAATTATTTTGCTCTGGTATACTTTTTTATTGTTAAAATATTGTTGAGCCACAAATCCACACTGCCTTGATCCAATTAAAAGAATAATTGTGAACTTAATTAGCTATTAAAAATTATATATTTTTTTAAATGAATTAATAAAACATGTTTTTTTTTTTTACTTTTTACATGTTGATATCAGTTTTTTTTTTTAAGTGAATTCTAGCCATTCTTGAGGGTGTTCATGTTCATTATAGTGTTTAAATAATTAAAATAAATACAAAATATCTCTCACGCTTGTAAGAATTAAATGAAGCCACATACGATTACCAAGAGCGATCATTTTTAATAATAAGTTTGGTGTTAAATTTTTTTTGATACATTTACTTTAATTGATCGATAACATATTGCTTATAATTTAAATAATGCTCATAGGAAAATGCAATTGATTTTTTTTTTTAATTTAATATTCAAGTACTTTTAATATATTAATATTATGTTTGTTAGAAATGACGCATCAAACACAAAAGCAGGACTAAAAATACTCTGCAATAATTAATTAATTACATCTTCTTTATGTTTCACGCTCGCTTTAATAATTTATGCGCCACGCAGATTGTGCAGCACTATAAAAAGTGGTGGAATTCCAAAGAGACAAATACAATCATTGTCTCATTTTCCAGCAGCACAGAGAGTCGTTTGCTTTTTGAGAAAGCAGAGCTTCAGTACTATTCTGACAGTAAAGTTTTACTGCTTTTTCATCATTGGCGTTTGCATTGGATGAGAGTCTGTGTGAAAATGCATGTACATGGACGGCGCATTATCCAAAGAAGAGGCGCGTGTGTCTCTTTATGTGTGAGATGGTTGGTGAGTGAAGCAGGACAGAACGGCGTCAGCTGCTCCTCCCGGAACTTCTCATCGAGGCCATAAAAGTTTTATGCTGAATACGAAGAGAATAAAACTGAAGCGCCGCGAGAAATTGCTCGGAAATCATTTCGGTACAACTCTCCGCACTCCTCGTCAAGGGAATCTGAACTCCCGAAGTGTTTCGTTTTGAAATATATTATGTAGATGAGAATTGACACACTTTGATAAGGAAAAGAACAAGAGCCGAGCACATGAATCGGAAAATAGATTTTAAGATAACGTGGGAAAGATGCGAAGCGAATAAATAATGCTGTTTTTTTATAAAGTTAAAATTTTTCATAAAAAATGAAAAAGTTAATTTTGAATAAAAAGGTTTTTAAATGAAATGAATTTTTTTTTTCAAATTTTTATTCTTGTGACAGTATTTTTGTTGAACTAGACAGTGCTGAGTAGTTTAACGTGCAAATGTGAAATATGCCAAAGTGAGAGTTAAAGCCATCCATCGCTCCTAGTCTATCAAATGACCGTCGCCGCAAAGTCAATCACTTTTGATGGACCTCGCCATTAATAATTCACACTGATAGACAGATTTGAACAGGGGAATATGGTAAAAAAAAATTATATAATAAACCATAAATTTCTTTTAAAAACTAATGATATTTCAAATTTATGTTTTTTATTTTGAACTAGAACTAATTAAAATTTATATAATTTTTTGTTCGTCCCAGTGGAAAATAAAATTCGGAAAAATTATAAAGAAACAAAGAAATCAAGGTGGAAGAATAACGGGATGATAAAAATTATAACAAGATCAGTATTTTTGCGATGTAATATTGAATTTGTTCCTTGTGACATAAAATTTGTATATTAATTATATGCTTCAGCTGTGCTTTAGCGCAGCGTTACTTAATATATTAAAAAGATCAAAATTAACATTACAAATTAAATTGAACACTATTCATAAAAAAAATTTGCAAGAATTGAAAAACTTGAGTTATTGTAATTTTCAAAATATAAAAATAATGACAAAAAATTCAAGCTTAGGGAAATTGTAACCAAGTATTAATATTTAATTTCAATTTTTATTATTTCTCGTGGTATTTTTTTCTTTTAAATTATGATTTTATAAAAAAAAAATGTATGCCCCCTGCACCACAAATAAAAAAGCGGCACATTCCGACTAGACTTGATCTTGGCGTCAAAATAAATAAAATAGATTTCAAACAAATAAAAATTAAATATGTCACATGAAACTAGTATCATTTTCTATGTCACGTGATTCTATTACAATAATAAAAAATAAAAAATTATTTAAGTTATTAGCTTGTGCCATACTTGCTTAATAATAATAAAATTCTTCTTACGTGTGCGTACATGCGCTACTGGAGCAGCATTAGAACTGGAACCGCTTCTCTTTCCCGCCTGTAGCAGTTCTTGTGAATTGCCACCAGGTATTGCTAGCGTACGGTCAGAAAATCTCTCCCGCTCAACAACCCTCCCAGTTTCCCCCTCTACTCTTCACTCTTCATAGTTGATTCTGTTTTTCTGCCGAGGTGAGTGTATCGAAATTTTCCTCTCCGAAATCTCTAAATATTTGCGTAATCGGCGTTATTTCCCGAATTTTCTTTAGCAATTTGAATTGAAAACTTATTATTCGCCAGTAATTTGACTAAATTTTCCTCACTTTCCCCATAAATTCGCTGGAATCTCAAGTTGAAATCAACACCTACGGCCCGATGGCGTCTTCCACACGTGTACACAAACGCCGTTCACGTTTTAAAAACGAAAATCATTTTTCAGTCCTTAAACGTGCGAACGTCCCTGCTACATCAAGATGGGTAGGGAGGACAAGGCCACCTGGAAGGCGAATTATTTCACCAAGCTCATTGTGAGTAAAACTTGTTTAATCCCTGTCCGGCAATTGCTCAAGTCGTGAATTGCAGACTCTTTTGGACGATTATCCAAAATGCTTCATCGTCGGCGCCGACAACGTGGGTTCCAAGCAGATGCAGCAGATTCGCATGAGTCTGCGTGGACACGCTCACGTGCTCATGGGCAAGAACACCATGATGCGTAAAGCCATCCGTGGCCATCTGGAGCACAACCCCAACCTTGAGAAGTATGAAATCAAATAATTATTTCCAGGCCTTCTTAAGTCATTTTGTAAGATTCTCCAAAAATTTGGAAACATATAGTCCTCTCAAATACTCTTGAAAATTAATTTAAAAATTTTGCATTGACTTTGTGAATTGCTCAAACACTATCCTTAATGTTAGCAATTTTGTATCCGTATGAAAATAAGTTCTGAGATTTTTTAATGTAAAATTCAATTTCTACCCTCTGTGGGCAATCGTGATGAAAAACTTCTCGTCCGAGACTCTGGACGCCAGCACCGCTGAGCTAGCAATAGCTGAACCCACAGTGGTGTGTCTGGGGTCCTGGTGAAAACTGCTGAAAGGCTGTCTGAATGCCCATTTCACCTTTATTCCAATACCCTCAGCTATTAGTCAGTTTTTAAATCACTTACTCAATGATCTATTCTGCAGGTTGCTGCCCTACATCCGTGGCAACGTGGGCTTCGTCTTCACCCGCGGAGATTTGGTCGAGGTGCGTGACAAGTTGTTGGAAAACAAAGTGCGCGCCCCTGCCCGTAACGGAGCCATCGCTCCGTGTCCCGTCGTCATTCCGGCCCAGAACACCGGTCTTGGTCCTGAGAAGACTTCTTTCTTCCAGGCTCTCTCCATCCCCACCAAGATTTCTAAGGTAATTCACATACATGGATAAATTGAAACAAGAATGTAGCATATGATTGATAATTTGATTTTAATAAGAATGGTTGAAAATTTTAAATTTTTATTGAAAAGTGATATTAATTGAAGCTATGTTAATCTATTAAACTTATGGACTTATGGAAAGAAATTGTTTTCCACTCTTTCTTTTTCTTTGTATTTGATTTTAAAATTCAACGGTTAAATGGCAATTCAATTGTTTTGATTTTTAAATTAAATTTACAAATTTAAACCAATGGAAGTTCTAAATGATGACAATTCAGTTCTGCTACTGACAATCTTTGACGAATGCTATACCAAAACTTCTGAAGGAACTTCTTTTTTTAATAATTCTAATTGCTGCCTTTTAATTTAATTGCTTTTAAATAAATTATCTTTTCTTTTTAAGGGAACGATTGAAATCATCAACGACGTGCACATCCTTAAGGAAGGTGACAAGGTTGGCGCCTCCGAAGCCACCTTGCTCAACATGTTGAACATCTCTCCCTTCTCGTATGGTCTGCTCGTCGAGATGGTTTACGACTCGGGCACCATCTTCGAGCCCAAGATTCTTGACATCAAGCCGGAGGACTTGCGTGTCAAGTTCATGGAGGTCAGTTTCTTTATTTGGCATTAGCCTGCAATTCTTTTAAATAAAATAATGATGACTACGTTCAGTTCTGCTACTGAGTTTCTTGACGATGCCCATACCAACCTCTGATTAAATTTTAAAATGAAATAATGTTTGACTCTTTTTTTTCCTGGAGATTTACAATTTCTTTTAACTTTCACAGGGTGTGCGCAACATAGCTTCGGTCTGCTTGTCCATCAGCTACCCGACCTTGGCTTCCGCTCCTCACAGCGTTGTCAACGGATTCAAGAACCTGCTGGCCATTGCCGCAGCTACAGAAATTGAATTCAAGGAGGCGACCACTGTTAAGGAGTTCCTCAAGGATCCTTCCAAGTTCATTGCCGCTGTCGCAACCAGCACTCCAGCGGCTACTGCCGCGGCTCCGGCTGCTGCGGCTAAGGAGGAGAAAAAGGAGGAAAGCGAGGCGTCCGATGATGACATGGGCTTTGGTCTTTTTGACTAGTTCAGGAAGATAGTGGTTTTGGCTGCTCCTCCAGAGCTGACTAAAATAAAAATCTCAAAAACTGATGGTTCTTCTTCTATTGATTTAAATTGTGACCTCTAGATTTTAAACAAATGCTTTGCAGTTCTTTCTGAAATAAATTAATTTTACATCAAAGTGGAATCAAAAAGCCATGTCATCACCAGGCACAGAAATAACCCTTAAGGAAATTTGACATGTGAAATTTCAAAGGCATGTATTTGTATCCTCATTAGGATGAAAATTGAGACAATTTACTGATCAGTACTATATCATTTTTATGTGTTCATCCCTGCTTCAGGTATAAAGTATATCCACCTTAAGCAACAGCCGCTGGCGACGACCACCGCTCAGGTGGGCAATTTGAGTTATTGTGAAAACACCCAAAACATTTATAAATTGGATCTAAAATATTATGATAATTTATCTGACAATTTTTATTTTGAAATTTAACAATAAACAAAATAGCAAAATACTTAGCATTCAATAATTATAGAAGAAGATTGACAAATAATTTCACCAAATTGAAAATCTGGAACTCTGGAATCCAAATTTTATTAAGAAACATTCAGCCGTTTTCAAATGACAGCGTGTTTTCCACAACGCGCCACTCGTCTACCAGCAGTTGGGGGTCCTATTAGATATTATTTTTTTTATTTAAAAACGGCTCAGTTTTTGTGTGTGAAAATTGAGTGTCAGGGTCAAAATTAAATTTTACACCGCTTGGCTATCTTGAAAAAATTCCTAAAAATTTATTTCTGTGCGAAAAAATTAAATTTTGACTTAGAGTCTTCCATACGCAAGTAAAAACAATTCTGACATCATCACGCCTGTGAAAGAATTTGCAGGAAATTTAATTGGCATCACGTTTCTCTTAGGGTTTATATTTTTAAAATTTTTTCTCTATTTTTAAAATTACCAGGACAAAATTCGAAAATTCTTGCGGAAACGTGAATAACTACGCTCCAGATCAATATTTATTAAAAAGATTTAAATATCAGGTTATTCAATAAGTTTACTACCAACGCTGAAAATATGAATACTCTAAATTAACGCGAACTTAAAAAAAGTTGCATTCGCGCGAGAGTCTAAAATTTGGCTTTTCGCTCACTCGCCGCACTCTTGTTGCTGCTGCCCGAGCTGCCGGCTGAAAGAAAGTGCCAAGCGCATGACCACTGGATTCACGGCGCACGGCTGCCGTCTCCAAGCAGGCGACACCTCCTTGGGCGACACCCCGCGTTCACACTTACTCGCGCAAAAGGCGCGTGTTTTCGTTCTATTTCAAATAGCGCCTGACCCCGCGCGGTCGCGCAAACGGCATGGGGGTTTCTCTGACCAAAATTATTTCTTGCGTCCAATTTTTAAGCGTAATACATAGCTAGAGAGGGCCTTTAATGATGATCTTCAAGCCACTTGAAACAAATTATTGAAGAAAAATCAACGTTTTCAAAAATTTCTTTGAACTTTTTCAAGTTTTCATATTTAATATCGTGTGGTTCATACCTAGTTGCGCTCAACAATTTTGGGCTCATGATTTAGAAAATGTTGCGCTCGCGCTCAAATAAAAAGTCTTGCGCTCACGCTTTTTGCTCAAAAATTGGAATTTTTTCTAATAGTTTTAAGGGTTAAGTAACATTATTATTTATTCTTCTCAGTAATTGCTGAAAACGCCATCTAAGAGATACCATTCCAATTTTCAAGTATATTGTTAGGGTGGCTAAGAGGCCTCTCTCATTAAATTTTCAAGTCAAAATATTGGGTACTTTTCCGGGAAATCGGATCTTTCCAAAAACAAAAATTAATAAATATTTTTGCTTCCAGTTAAAATAATGATATGCTCTCTTCACTACCTTTTGCGTAACTTTTTACGCCCGACAACTTTTCTGTTGACAACTTTTACATAGATCAAAGGTCAAGGACACTAAATTGCAAATTTCCCTTCTACACGCAATTTTCGCAAAAATGAACCCCTAAGAATTTTTTTGCGGTATAGGAAAAAAATAGCCCCAAGTGTGTAGAACAACATACTAAATATTCAAAATGGAATAATTTTCAGTTTTTGAGATAATTATAAATGAATATTAAAAAAAGTAAATTAACCAGGACTCTCATGATCAATATATGGGTTACACGAAGTGGTAACATGTTGTAGCAGAGCCAAACTTTGTGAAACAATGCTATATAGCAATGTATTACACAGTAGTAGCATGCTTTTTAAGTATTTGCAAAATTTTCGACTAAAGTTAATTGGCCAGGACTCTGAGGATCAATAGCAGTGTTACACGAAGTGGTAGCATGTTGTAGCAGAAACAAACTTTGTGAAACAATGCTATAATAGCAATGTATCACAAAGTGGTAGCAAGCTTTTTAAAAATTTGCAAAATTTTCGACTAAAGTTAATTGGCCAGGACTCTGAGGATCAATATATGGGTTACACGAAGTGGTAACATGTTGTAGCAGAACCAAACTTATTTGTGAAACAATGCTATAGCAATGTATCACAAAGTGGTAGCATGCTTTTTAAGTATTTGCAAAATTTTCGACTAAATTTAATTTGCCAGGACTCTCAGGATCAATGTCTGGGTTACACAAAGTGGTAACATGTCGTAGCAGTGCCTAACTTTGTGAAACAATGCTATAGCAATATATCACAAAGTGGTAGCATGCTTTTTAAGTATTTGCAAAATTTTCGACTAAAGTTAACTGGCCAGTAATGTATCACAAAGTGGTAGGAATTTGAGGATCAATATATGGGTTATACGAAGTGGTAACATGTTTTAGCAGAACCAAACTTTGTGAAATATTGCTATAGCAATGAATCCCAAAGTGGTAGCATGCTTTTTAAGTATTTGCAAAATTTTCGACTTAAGATAATTGGCCAGGACTCTCAGGATCAATATATGGGTTACACAAAGTGGTAACATGTTGTAGCAGAGCCAAATTTTGTGAAACAATGCTATAGTAATTTATCACAAAGTGGTAGCATGCTTTATAAGTATTTGCAAAATTTTCGACTAAAGATTATTGGCCAGGACTTATTTAATGACACTGCTACAACATGCTACCACTTCGTGTAACCCTGCTATTGATCCTGAGAGTCCTGGCCAATTAAATTTAGACGAAGATTTTGCAAATACTTGAAAAGCATGCTACCACTTTGTGATACATTGCTATAGCATTGTATAACCAAAAATGACACTGCTACAACATGCTACCACTTCGTGCAACCCTGCTATTGATCCTGAGAGTCCTGGCCAAATAAATTTAGTCAAAGATTTTGCAAATACTTAAAAAGCATGCTACCACTTTGTGATACATTGCTATAGCATTGTATAACCAAAAATGACACTGCTACAACATGCTACCACTTCATGTAACCCTGCTATTGATCCTGAGAGTCCTGGCCAATTAAATTTAGACGATGATTTTGCAAATACTTGAAAAGCATGCTACCACTTTGTGATACATTGCTATAGCATTGCATAACCAAAAATGACACAGCTACAAAATGCTACCACTTCGTGTAACCCTGCTATTGATCCTGAGAGTCCCGGCCAATTAAATTTAGACGAAGATTTTGCAAATATTTGAAAAGCATGCTACCACTTTGTGATACATTGCTATAGCATTGAATAACCAAAAATGACACTGCTACAACATGGTACCACTTCGTGTAACCCTGCTATTGATCCTGAGAGTCCTGGCCCATTATATTTAGACGAAGATTTTGCAAATACTTTAAAAGCATGCTACCACCTTGTGATACATTGCTATAGCATTGTATAACCAAAAATGACACTGCTACAACATGCTACCACTTCGTGTAACCCTGCTATATATCCTGAGAGTCCTGGCCAATTAAATTTAGTCGAAGATTTTGCAAATACTTGAAAAGCATACTACCACTTTGTGATACATTGCTATAGCATTGTATAACCAAAAATGACTCTGCTACAACATGCTACCACTTCCTGTAACCCTGCTATTGATCCTGAGAGTCCTGGCCAATTAAATTTAGTCGAAGATTTTGCAAATACTTAAAAAGCATGCTACCACTTTGTGATGCATTGCTATAGCAATGTATAACCAAAAATGACACTGCTACTACATGCTAACACTACGTGTAACCCTGCAATTGATCCTGAGAGTCCTGGCCAATTATATTTAGACGAAGATTTTGCAAATACTTTAAAAGCATGCTACCACCTTGTGATACATTGCTATAGCATTTTATAACCAACAATGACACTGCTACAACATGCTACCACTTCGTGTAACCCTGCTATTGATCCTGAGAGTCCTGGCCAATTAAATTTAGTCGAAGATTTTGCAAATACTTGAAAAGCATGCTACCACTTTGTGATACATTGCTAAAGCATTGTATAACCAAAAATGACACTGCTTCAACATGCTACCACTTCGTGTAACCCTGCTATTAATCCTGAGAGTCCTGGCCAATTATATTTAGACGAAGATTTTGCAAATACTTGAAAAGCATACTACCACTTTGTGATACATTGCTATAGCATTGTATAACCAAAAAATACACTGCTACAACATGCTACCACTTCGTGCAACCTGCTATTGATCCTGAGAGTCCTGGCCAATTATATTTAGACGAAGATTTTGCAAATACTTTAAAAGCATGCTACCACTTTGTGATACATTGCTATAGCATTGTATAACCAAAAATGACACTGCTACAACATGCTACCACATCGTGTAACCCTGCTATATATCCTGAGAGTCCTGGCCAATTAAATTTAGTCGATGATTTTGCAAATACTTGAAAAGCATGCTACCACTTTGTGATACATTGCTATAGCATTGTATAACCAAAAAAAACACTGCTACAACATGCTACCACTTCGTGTAACCCTGCTATTGATCCTGAGAGTCCTGGCCAATAATATTTAGACGAAGATTTTGCAAATACTTTAAAAGCATGCTACCACCTTGTGATACATTGCTATTGCATTGTATAACCAAAAATGACACTGCTACAACATGCTACCATTTCGTGTAACCCTGCTATTGATCCTGAGAG